AAAAGTGAGAACTCGCCAAGAAGTCGATCTCACGACCTCTTGTTCGTCGGAGCCGGGCCGCTGCCACTGCACTATCTCGCTTCATAACTACGTTCAGAGAATCGTTCCGCAGATTTGGAGAGCAGATTTGAGATCAGCGTCCAAAAACACATCTAGTGGTGTATGTCTCGTTACAAATGGCCACTTCGACCTGGTATCCTTCCCTTGTTAGTGTGTGCTTTAGACGTAGACGGCTCTTGAATGGTGTTTAGGTAAACATATCGTTCTGATTACGCTTATTTATGTTAGTTTTCTATAATTCCTACATGTAGAGACACTCATCCAGAGCTTGCTTAACATCACCCCAATTTGATTTTCTTCAACACTCCCCCTCAAACAGGTTTGGCACCAGTATGCAAAAATAGAATCATGGGTGCGAAATGAAGTGGTAGCAAAAAAAGGAAAAGCGCTTGTCGAGATGCTAAAATCAAGAGTTTGCAAATTTTGTGTAAAATAGACGAGGGAACACAATAGTGAAGATGGCACAAACACTCGTATGGTGCGAGTGAAGAAAAATGGAAGCGTCGGATTGGTCCTAACCCTCTCATCGCGCACTTTTAAGCCGAGAGTACTGCACATCTGCCACTTAGTAACTGAAGTTCTGTCCTACACACCGAAGTTACTAATCCACCTAAACAAGTATTGAGGTGTGCCTCCAGTCAACGCAGAGATCCTATCAGGGTTCAGATACCCATAAAGAAGAAATTAGCATCTTCACTTCTTCACTTAAGGGCCCTCTTCTGTAACCTTTCTTTTCAGGTACAGCGGAAATACACTTGCTTCGACGTAGAAGGTTCTTGCTGATGCTTCTTAAATTTGATGTGCATAGAGGATTATTGGCCTACGTAGCTTGCGCACATCGGTGCCAGCGACCAGAAATCACTGAGAGCATCGAGCCTTTTGCAATTAATGCTCCTAAGTATACCTTCCGAATACGCAGGTCGAATGAAATCAATTCAAGCCGAGAAACAGTGACAGCAACAGCTACAAACAAAACCAGTCGTTAGACAAGAAAAACAATAAGAAAACAAAAATCCGCCTAAAACAATAAGAAAAAGTCCACGTAATGTAATAGTTAAGCTCAGCGAAATGATCAACTGGTATGCCTCATCATTCCAGCTGCTGTAGCTTTCTGCTCAGGCTTTTGTTTGTGAAGTCACTGTTTCGTTGTCAGAAGAATAAAATCATAATCAAAACACTGTTTTTTTGTCATTTTTGGCTTTGAGACGCAGCAA